AGCAGGATTCAGACCCAGAGAATATTGAACAAGTGTCCAGTGTTGCCAGATGCTGAGGGGGTTCTTGCCGTCATGGACCGCTACAGTGCTCGTTGGCTTTAAAGCAGGGCAGCCTCCTGCATTCTTAACACACTCTGAGGTGTGCACGAGCGCATTTAGAGTGTCTGTAATGAGCCGATTTCGTGTATGAATATAGAAGCCCTATGACTACAACTACCATCATTTGAATTGTCATAAAATTATGAAATTATCGTACATTATGGGATTTTTTTCATTATTGATCGTACATCGTACAGAGGTCAAAATTATCGTACAAATACAATAATTATCGTACGTCTGGCAACACTGGCTCCATGTGACGTTTCACCTTGAGTGAAGTGAAAAAGCATAATAGGACCCCTTTAAAGGATAGATTACCCCAAAATGAAAATTCTGTCATCATTTACTCATTGCAAAACTGTAACTTTTTTCTTCTGTGGAACATAAAAGACAAATGTATCAAGATTTTTTTTTTTTTTGGGCTGCATCATTTACTCATTGCAAAACTGTAACTTTTTTCTTCTGTGGAACATAAAAGACAAATGTAACCAGGTTTTTTTTTTTTTTTTGGGCTGTTAAAAAAAAAATCCTCAAAGCATCTTCTTTTGAGTTTAACAGAAAAATAAACACATACAGGTTTAGCATGACATGACAGTAGGCTACATTATAAGTTGAAAATTGCTCTTCTCGCCATATTTCTCAATTCAGAATACAGTGCAATGCTGGAAATAATGCTGTTTCCTGTGAATGTGCGAGACTTCCGTTTCATTAGCTGCTATAGATAAATAACTAAAATAAGTGCAGTAATCAATGTGTTTATTATTACTATAATGAATTAAAAAAACTGTGATAGCCAAATATTACACTATAGAGGCCCATTACATAATATAATATACACTACACCTAAAGCTTGGCCACTCATCATTTAAATGATCTTATATTTGAGATTCTTCAAAGTCACCATCATTTGCTTTGCACAATCTTGACGCTCACTCACAGCCAACGCTGATGGAATTCCTGTACTGTACTGAAGGAGTGTGCGGGACACTTGTTGGCTGTTTTCCATTTAATATCTGTATACATAAAGCAGGCACATTGATATTTGCCTACACATTTAATTTCTAACATTTAAGTCTTTAGATAAAAAAGTTTTTAAGTTCATGAGACACAAATTCAAATGCGTCCAAACTTTTGTCAGTAACGGGAGACAAACACACACACACACACAGATCTATATCTATATAATTTAGTTGTTTTATAAGTACTTTAGTAACATATAAATGACATTATAGCTTTGATAACTTTTATTGCTTCAAGATCCATTGAATAATGCTTGTAAACCCAGCTGCTGTAATGGAACACGGGACCACCAGATGGCTATTAAAGTCAACCATGCAGAAAAGCTTCAAGTAATGAACCAATATGTTTATGTATTGAAGGCCTCATTTCTTCATTTTGCAATACTAAATGCTTAAGCTGTATATTCACTTAGTTTTTTTTTGTAGTATTCGCAGAGTTTGCATGAAATCACCCTTTAAATTGCTTTTACATTTTCAAGATTTATCCAGTGCTTTAGCAATATATTCAACTAAATTAGAAGATTTTGTTAAGGTCAGGGGTCACCAGTCTTGCTTAAGTGTTTGAGGTCCTGTAATAATTGCTTTGATCAGATTCTTGACTAAACGTTCAACATGAATATTATTATGAATGCATATGCTTATTAATATACGGCTCACACAGCCATTCTTCTACAAATGAAAACTACAAGAACATTCTCTTGAAATAGAAACAGTTCGTGTGCATTATATATGAGCACTAATGAGCAGCCATTGATCATAGTGAAGAAGGACGTCAGCATAACAATCCTTAAATAGATTCACACCGCAAGGCCTGCAGAGTGGATGAGAATCTCATGAAGAAATGTCACCCAGAGGAGATGCAGCACTTTATTATTTCTTTAGCTGAAGTGGCATTATCCGTTACATTCATTCCAGATGAAGTATTGAGGTAATTTATGTCTTTAGATTTAAATCAAAAAGTATAGCATGGTTGTTTGAGATTTCACATTGCCTCAGTTCAAGAACCATGCACTGAATTTTCATGAATGTCTCTGTTTTTTTTTTGTTTTGTTAAGGGGGATGTGACCTACCTGTGGTGCTCTGTCAATGGAGTGCTGTCCCGACCCAAACTAGTCATCCTGTACAAGTCAAATCAAGTTTATTTGTACGGCGCTTTTCACGATACAAATCATTGCAAAGCAACTTTACAGCAAATTAAGTTTCTACAATATTTAGCACATCTGTTCTGGTGGTTTTTGTTCTTTCTTCAGCATTTATGTCATGGCTAGAGCACTGGTCTCTGGATGTGTGCAGGTGGATGTACCTGTGCCCAAATTCCTGGCTGAAGTCTCCAGTGCACAGGGTGGCGCTGTTGCACCCATGACAGACACTATTGAAAAGATAATCGAGGCTCAATTCCTGTTCCTAACGTATACATAATGCAAGATCTGGATTGGTGCATCCCAAATCATAGGTCAGTGTTAGTTGGCAATACCTAACCCTAATATACATTTGACACAAATTAATGACAAGGTAGTGCTCAAGGTAGTGTCATATTGTCCAAGTACATACATGTAAGTACTTATAATGCAAAGAGTTTTATTATATATAAGAATAATAGTGATAAGATGGTTCAGGGCCAGTTTAAAACTGCTAATTTATCAGAAAGTCACTACTCATTACAAGATCTTAAGAAAGCACTACTAATTAGTTCAGACTTGAGATTTCCAACTCAAATTTCTTCTAGATTTGCAGTTTGATTTGTGATGTTTCCTCTGAAATGAAAGTTAACAGTTCTTTTCCATATTGAGTTTGAGTATTTGCTGTCACCTGTAACATTCAGTCCCTGTGGTTATTTTGCACCACGATGTCATTGTTTGGAGGATAAAGATGGGTTTGTTGGCCCCATTTTCCTGGATGTCCACCATCTCATATGCTTGGTTGATTTTCCGGGTTAACCGCTGGATGACTGTGGACTGGAGTGCATCTCCCATTAAACATATTTGCAAGTATTTGCATTTTAACAAAACCAAACCACTGAAGTATACAGAGAAAACCGTGATCACTTTATGCTTACTGTACAAGTCTGTTTAAAGAGTAGCTGCAAACATTTGTGCTGCCAGAGCCACACTTGAAGATGAAAAACCTCTTGAAAAACTGCTTAGCACAGTGATATATCGAGTCTTACATTTGCCACTGGTTAATATAGTTCACAATTACACTGGGGGAGAAGAAAAAAAAAAAAAAAAATTAAAAATTTTGGTATGGGATTTACTTTGGGGAAAAAAAAATAAAAAAATTCAGAAAGTTCTAGTTAATTTCACAAAATAATTACAAGGAACTGGCAAGTAACACATTGAAGTAAACATGAAATTTAAAAGTAGAAAGACTGAAATAGTATTTTATTTTATATAACCATACTCCATGAAATCTGACTCCTAACAGCCACCCAGGTCACGGCACCAGAATTCATCTGATACCTTTGAGATACCCTTGCAGCAACTGTACAAAAACTAAAATGTAGAACACTAATAATCATAATAAAACACTAGATTTTATAAAGATATTTATTCTGTAAATATAACTTTCATAAACATCAGCAATGAAACATATTCACTGTAAGGAGAGTACAATTAGAAGAACATGTTTACACAAAAAAGATGAAACCGCAACATGGATGACTGACATCACAGCTAGATCAGGTATTTCCAGTCTAGATTGAGTCTTATTGCTAATGTCTCGGAGTAACAAATGGCATACTGCATTGCTATATAATAAAAGAAAATACATTATACAGCAACGCACGTCCGCCGTTCAACACAAGATCTGAAATAGTAATGATCAGCAGTCAGGAGTCATTATGGGTTTGAACTTTGACATGAAAAGAGTGATATACAAATAAAAATACTAGAGAAGTAGTACCAAAATAGAGTAATCCACAATTCATAACGTAACCATACTCCATCATAAAAATCGGACTCCCAACTGCCACCCGGGTCACGGCACCAGATTTCAGCTGATACCTGTGAGATCCAGGGCGTCGCAGCCTTTGCAGCAAAATTAAACAGAAATACCAAGACTAGACTCTTCAAATCCAGAGCATTTAGGTCCAGTTGACTTAGGCCTCTGTTACTGGGTTATTGAGACAGATGACCTAAGTGTTGCATGCAGTCTGATATCATAAACTTCAATATAGTTGATCTAAGCAAGTTTAAAACGGTTGTCTCAATGCTCCGGCCTTACAATATCCCACGGCCCATGTAGGATGAATTTCATTCCTTTTACTCCGACTATGCCCTCCTACATGATTAAATACACACAGGCGTACACACGCAAATGAAAAAAAAAAAAATCAAACAGCTTTGACAAGTGGTTAGCAACACAAGCAGAAAAACAAGGAACACCGCAACAATGATAAATTAACCGGTGACAATGGTTAGAGATGACAACATAGCATGTGCAAGACAGGAAAACAAGAAATAATATGCAGGCACATGACTAATGGAGGTTAAAGTGATCGAGTTCAAGGATGATATGTGAGTTTTCCATCAAGAACCCCATCGCGACATTCTTGCATCATGATAAGTCTGTACGAACCACAACTCGGGCTGGGTGTACAGGTAGGCATCTTAGGGTAGGAGGCTACAGGTTTTTGAGCTAGCGCTACATGGCGCTCACATTTAATACCTTGAAAATCAGGCAATTAAAAGAGGGAATTATGGCTTCAAAAAGACCCCTTGTTTTCCTCAGGAAAGACGGTGGCCCTTTGCGTACAGTTCCATGGGTTTGCTAGCAGCGGAAACTCAAGACACACAAATCCTTTGGTTTTTGCAGGAGCCGTGCCTGTCCCTTGTTGCCGATCACGTGACGTGATGCTCTGAGTAACAGAGATTTTAAAGTGTGACAGTCTGGCTGGTGACTGGACAAGGGCAGGGGGGCGGGGTAAAGGGCAGGCGTCTCCGGACTCTACGAGCTGATCCTTATTGGGCTGGTGCATTAACAATGAGAGACCTCCATGGGTGAGAGCGTCAGGATGCTCCGGTCGTTGGAGAAGAAGGTGTCCGAGTTGCTCCAAGATCTGGAAGGATCAAGGAAATTGCGAACAGTGAGGGGGACAGAGTGGACAGTTTGGAGATGTCAATTCAAAGCTGCTCTACAGTCTGACTGACTGAGAGGGACGTTCATGACCAGTGTGGGACCTCAATACTAGGGATGCACAATATATCAGGTTTTTCAGTGCTATCAGTTTGATTAATATCAAGCTATTTTTTCACCAATTCAAACAGGTTATAAAAGTAATATATTGTTTTTCTATTTAGAATTAAAACAAATTGTAAGTATATATTGTGTAAAACATCTGTTATGCTAATCATTAACTTGTATTATGACTATATCCATGCATCAACCATTAAGAAACATGATGTATTGGTCAACGAGTAATTGTGAATATTTATTTTGCAGATAAAACAATTGCCATTAAGATAATTAATGGCCATTAAGTCTTACTATATTTAATAAAATATCCCTTAAAGGGATAGTTCACCTAAAAATGAAAATTGTGTGATCACTTACTCACCCTCATGTCATTCCAAACCCATAAGACTTTCGTTCATCTTCGAAACACAAATAAAGATGTTTTAATAAAAGTATTTGGTCCCTCCATTCAAAGTCTATTACACCAAAATTTGAATGCTTCAAAAACGGTGAACAAATTTTCGGCAGCCGAAATTTCGGTTCATCTCTAATGATTGGCGACATCAGAAATGGATATTATATAATAGATGCTTTTTTGAACATTTTAGCAATTAAAAAATATTAAAAAAGGATTTTTTACACGGCACCCCTGCTCTCGACAGACGGCACCCCAAAACACTGTTGGGAAACACTGATTTAGCTTGTCTCACTTTAAAACGACTAAATTATTTGTATTAAGTCAAAGATATAATGGTTAAAAAAAGATTAAAATGAACATCAATTTGACACCTCACTAAGGAATATCTCATTTTAGCTCTTGATTTCCATCCTGTTAGGTTCCATAATGTTAAATGTCTTGTGATTTTGTAAATGGGTTATTAATTATTGGGCTACCAGAGTATATTCCTGAAAGTCCAGTATACTTCTTTACAAGAGTGTTCCTTTATCTGTGCATCCCTTATACATCTCTCTTTAACTAACAAACTCTTTGTGCATGAAGATCAGCAAGCAACAGTCAAGAGTCACAGCCAATGGAGAAATGGATGAGTGTGCGTTAGTACAAGATGGGTTAATGTGCATGGTTAAAGACAATAAACAAATACAAACACAACATCCTTCCACAGCCTTGACATTCACATAGACTACATTCTTATGAAAGTATTAACGTTTTCCTAGCCAGAATATGTTGGGTATGGCAACTATATGTGAAAAAGATCATTTACAGTATATAAGTAAATATACAAACTAATTCGTAACATAAATCTATTGCTTGTAGAAAAATGAGTATATAAGTTCACTATAAAATTTATATTATATCTGTAAATAGTGGAATTAAGCAGCCCTTGAGGATCTGAGCCGTTCCAAAGCTGTATTCCTCAAACGCCAGATCTGCTACTCTTGAACACCAGAGGGCATTGTCTTCATCCAATGGACTAACCCCTTAAAGTACAGCCATATTACAAATAGATCCATGCTATATATAAGATAAAGAATACATTGATAGCTACAGTAATGCGATTATCTTTGGATAGAAAGAAGTGGTAGAGAGCAAAAGTAAATATACCATCGTCGTGTTTGCAGATGAAGACAACCGTTTTAAGACCTTGAAGAGGTAAAAAGTTTAAATCAGAGTGTATATTTGCATTTATATGGTATATGCGGCTTACTGGCTTCATACGGTAATAAACAATCTCCTTCCTGCACTGTCTACAGCAGTGGTTCTCAACTGGTTTTGCTTTAGGACCCGGATTTTTCTGTTGACATCACTCACGTGTGTTCACCCAGTGTACCAAGTACCAAAATGCACTGGAACTGCACTGGGAAAAAATGTTCAAGGTCAAAGAAACACCAATAAATTGTTTGTTTTTGAGGATGAGGGCATGTTGGCATCTGCCTATTAAAATATATATGTGTTTTTTAGGGCCCAAGCACCGAAGGTATGATGGCACCTATTGTATCCGTTAGTTTTCTTCTTCTTCTGCTCTTGTGTCTGTGTTAGCCCAAAGAACTGCTTGAGGGAAAGTTATGAAATTTGGCACACAGATAGAGGAGAATCTCAACATTAACCATAGCATGTTTATGCTATAAACTGTTTATGTTAATAACTTTTGAACTGTAAAGTTTAGAGGCAAAATTCTTTGTCCCCCTTATTCCTTGGCTCATGTTGGGTCAAATGCATACCAAAATTTAAATTTCTACAGCTCAAGATTTTTCGCAATTTTAAATTATTCAAAAAACCTACTCATCTGATTTTAACCGAAATTGGCTTAGATCATCGTCAGACCATGCTGGCAAAAAGTTATTAAAAGCTTTTTGATAAACCAAACCGTTCTCAAATAACGTGTGCACGAATTTGACATAGCCTCATGTCCAATTTGGCATGATCTTCAAGTATGCAATGCTTTAGCATATTCAAACCAAAATTGGTACATGTCATCATAAGCATCACCTGAGGCTACATGCAGCATTTTGGCACAGTGCCACCTACTGGCCAGGAGATATGAAAAATGGCTATTTTTGCTAATAGCTTTTTATTAATTCAGCATATTTTAATGAAAATGGTCTTGATAGATTCCTTGGATCATCCCAAGAGCATCGATACCAATTATGCCATATTCGGTCGATCTTGCAGTTTCTTTGAAACCCTACTTTTTCTAACTTCTCCTAAACTGTTGGTCTGATTTTCACCAAAATTGGGTAAGATAGGCTTGGGCGATAAAACGGTATCAATATTTATCGACAGTACACCTTCTTCGATAACGATATAAAAAATGTTCGATATAGTGCAGGAAATATGCACATGCTATGAGTGACGCAGACAGCACACACAAACACGAACACATGCTGAAATGAGTGCTGTGCCTGCATGTGATGAGGAGATTGTGAATAAAAAATAATATTAGTCGAATTTAAAATAAACATTTGCATTTGAATGTTAGGCGTGCGTCAGGGAGCGTCATTAGTGGCACGCGAGATGCGGTGATGTTGATGTAAGTGACGTTGTTTCATTTTAATGTTTTGTTAGTCTAGCCCACGAGATGCGCCGCTAGACTACATTCTTATGAAAGTATTAACGTTTTCCTAGCCAGAATATGTTGGGTATGGCAACGTGAAAAAGATCATTTACAGTATATAAGTAAATATACAAACTAATTCGTAACATAAATCTATTGCTTGTAGAAAAATGAGTATATAAGTTCACTATAAAATTTATATTATATCTGTAAATAGTGGAATTAAGCAGCCCTTGAGGATCTGAGCCGTTCCAAAGCTGTATTCCTCAAACGCCAGATCTGCTACTCTTGAACACCAGAGGGCATTGTCTTCATCCAATGGACTAACCCCTTAAAGTACAGCCATATTACAAATAGATCCATGCTATATATAAGATAAAGAATACATTGATAGCTACAGTAATGCGATTATCTTTGGATAGAAAGAAGTGGTAGAGGGCAAAAGTAAATATACCATCGTTGTGTTTGCAGATGAAGACAACCGTTTTAAGACCTTGAAGAGGTAAAAAGTTTAAATCAGAGTGTATATTTGCATTTATATGGTATATGCGGCTTACTGGCTTCATACGGTAATAAACAATTTCCTTCCTGCACTGTCTACAGCAGTGGTTCTCAACTGGTTTTGCTTTAGGACCCGGATTTTGCTGTTGACATCACTCACGTGTGTTCACCCAGTGTACCAAGTACCAAAATGCACTGGAACTGCACTGGGAAAAAATGTTCAAGGTCAAAGAAACACCAATAAATTGTTTGTTTTTGAGGATGAGGGCATGTTGGCATCTGCCTATTAAAATATATATGTGTTTTTTAGGGCCCAAGCACCGAAGGTATGATGGCACCTATTGTATCCGTTAGTTTTCTTCTTCTTCTGCTCTTGTGTCTGTGTTAGCCCAAAGAACTGCTTGAGGGAAAGTTATGAAATTTGGCACACAGATAGAGGAGAATCTCAACATTAACCATAGCATGTTTATGCTATAAACTGTTTATGTTAATAACTTTTGAACTGTAAAGTTTAGAGGCAAAATTCTTTGTCCCCCTTATTCCTTGGCTCATGTTGGGTCAAATGCATACCAAAATTTAAATTTCTACAGCTCAAGATTTTTCGCAATTTTAAATTATTCAAAAAACCTACTCATCTGATTTTAACCGAAATTGGCTTAGATCATCGTCAGACCATGCTGGCAAAAAGTTATTAAAAGCTTTTTGATAAACCAAACCGTTCTCAAATAACGTGTGCACGAATTTGACATAGCCTCATGTCCAATTTGGCATGATCTTCAAGTATGCAATGCTTTAGCATATTCAAACCAAAATTGGTACATGTCATCATAAGCATCACCTGAGGCTACATGCAGCATTTTGGCACAGTGCCACCTACTGGCCAGGAGATATGAAAAATGGCTATTTTTGCTAATAGCTTTTTATTAATTCAGCATATTTTAATGAAAATGGTCTTGATAGATTCCTTGGATCATCCCAAGAGCATCGATACCAATTATGCCATATTCGGTCGATCTTGCAGTTTCTTTGAAACCCTACTTTTTCTAACTTCTCCTAAACTGTTGGTCTGATTTTCACCAAAATTGGCTAAGATAGGCTTGGGCGATAAAACGGTATCAATATTTATCGACAGTACACCTTCTTCGATAACGATATAAAAAATGTTCGATATAGTGCAGGAAATATGCACGTGCTATGAGTGACGCAGACAGCACACACAAACACGAACACATGCTGAAATGAGTGCTGTGCCTGCATGTGATGAGGAGATTGTGAATAAAAAATAATATTAGTCGAATTTAAAATAAACATTTGCATTTGAATGTTAGGCGTGCGTCAGGGAGTGTCATCAGCGGTACACGAAATGCTGTGATAATGATGTAAGTGACGTTGTTGCATTTTAATGTTTTGTTAGTCTAGCCCACGAGACGTGCCGCTGCTGCGTTATTCATTCAAAATATTAGAGAAATATAGAAGCTCAATGCAGAGAAGATCTTGATTAGGTGAAAACCGAAACCAAGCCATTCACACAGAATGCATATTCAGCGCATTTTTAGATGGACAAATATGAC